CTACTAATGTCTGCTTCTACCAAGATACACGAAGATGAGAGCATCCAGCTTTTCTTATTGCAAATATTTTGACCAAAACTCACTGCTAACTTTGAACTGAACTTGTAAATAGTATTGACCCTCAAAACTATGGTTTTGAATACAAAGCAGTTGAGTTGCTTTTTTTCAGCTCCACCCTTGACTTTATTCACAGACATGGAACTGATTAATTCTTGAACAAGAACTGACTGAAACTCAGTGTCTTAATTTTAGTAGCAACGTGAGAGATGGAGCAATCTCACCACAGGCAGACTTTTCAGAGCATTTACTTGTTCCGTTCAAGTTGCCTGTAAAGAAGGGAAACTGAGTTTCCAGAGGCTTGTAATTTGCAATAAAGGCATTGATCTGATTGTCAAATTTTATCCCTTCCCCAAAGACCTGAGGAACTGGAGAGTCTCAATAAAACAGTCAGAAGTTACTGTTGTGTTTTAATATCTTTTCCCCAAATATCATTCTTGGAAGCAACGGGATTGTTCTTCTGCAACTCCTAGACAAATGTAAAGGTTAGCTTACAGCAGACAGGCAGCATGGAAGATTTCTGCACAAACTGTTTCCACTTGAATAGGTTATAAGCACACTGGACACCACATCTTCAAATAGGAAAAATTACCACTGACTCTGACATCCACATGTACTGTATGTATTTTGGGGGGTTTTACCATACAAACTTGGTCCCACATAATGCTTAAAATGAAGAGGGAACAGGTGTTACACTCCTGAGAAGTTTTGGAGGTGAGTTTTCTGCTCTAGAGATTCAGTGAGGAGCCATTGAAAGGACACCAAAGGCATACAGCCTGCCAGAAAACTTTTTACTTGATGATTCATGATGCTTTTATCACCTGCCTCTAAAAGTTGCTACCAAAAGAATGACTTTGAGCAACCCAAATATGTGTTCATCAAAGCTGTTTTGCCTGCCAGCCAGCCGGTCGATAGGTTAGTGTGACCTTCTGCTTCCAGGGCAGCTTGTTTGTGAAAAGACGAATAGCTTTCCTTCTCCTGGATTCAGAGGTTAAGAGGGACAGTACGTGTAAAGCAAACAAGGCTCTGAAACACCCTTGTTTGAAATTCCCCCTGAAATTCTTGCACTGTTATCATTATACACAGTGTTTTAACATTGCTAAGCTATCACCCAAGCAGCCAATAGCCTGGTGTTGTGGGCAGAGCCATGCACTCCATGGTCACCCCCGTAAAGGTTTGGCTGCTGGTGGCCAGCTGCGGAGAGCAGAGCAGCAGGCACCCGGCTCCACATATTATGCTGGGCAAGGGGCATTGCCTTGTGTGAAATGAGCACCCTGATAGGTGTACTGCTCCCTGACTTCTCCCTGACATCCCTGAGCTGGCCAGAGGTCCAGGCAGGACTTCCTTCTTCTGCATGAGTACATTGCCAGGACCTTGGCATCAATGTGAGGCCTTCCAATGCCCCAGTGCTATTGAGTGCAGGCAGGAGACATCCGACTGCGATAAGCAGCTGCAGGTCATAGAATCATAGAATGGTTAGGGTTGGAAAGGACCTTCAGATCATCCAGTTGATTCTGCTTCCATTTTGCTCCTAAACGCTGCCTGCCTTTGGGGTGGAAAGGTGAGCAGAAGGGTGGTCAGGTGCATTTGTGTTTCAATCTCTCTAAAAGGGCCATACAGGTCTTGAAATACTCTGTTAAGCAAATGAGGTGTGAACCCCCAGCCAGGATCGATGCCTGGTTCTGGTGTTTGCACTTCTCTCACCCCTTTGTCCCCCCTTGCACCCCCTTTTTTTTTTTTTTTTTTTAATTTTTCAGTAGGCATCAACTAGGTGAGAGCTTTTCATTTGGAGCACTGGGATTTCTACTTGGCCTGCTAAAGCTGTCAGGTCTAGTTTGCTGCTGAATAGTTCATGCTTTCGTGCTGGACAATGCACAAAGGTTTAAATTGCTCGAAATGTCTAATTGAATTATCCTCAAATTACAAATCAAAATAGGAAAGGCTGTCTCTGGCTCACAGGCTCGCTCACTGGGATGTGTCTGCCACACCGATGCTTTTCTTTATATTTTCTTTTCTGCTTCCAACTATAGCTGTGTTAAATGAAACCTTAAATACTGAAAGCATTTGTTTGTATGTGCAGGGGGAAGCAATGCTGAGCGTAAAGGGAAATTTATTCACTTTCTGACTCCAAGTTCTTTTTGTGCTGCAAGAAAACGAGTTCATGAAATTTATATCAATGCATAGGGAAGCAAAACAGCCAGCTGCTATTTACAAAGAGACCTTCTTTCTTTTTCAGGCACAGTGATATATAATATAAAACACTTTCAGGCAGATATAAATACTATTTAACTGGGGATTTTGATGACAGCTCACAGATTAAGGAAACCAACAAGCCGGAAAGATTTGATGTATCTAGCCAGCAGTTATGATAAAATCAGCTTCTTAAAGCCTTGCCATTTATACAGTGAGGTAGAAATTAAAGCCCGTGGGATTTTCTTTTTCAAGTTGTTAAGGAAGGCAAAGCTTGGTCTGCATGTGTAACATCTGCACATCCAGGCCCCTCCCCTGCAGCACCGGAGGCTGGTCAGAAACTCTGCTCAGTGCAATAATGGTTCTTTCATGGGCATAATGTTTTATGGAATTTCATAATATGTAATAAATGGCCACTTACCCCCATCCTCAGCCATTTTGCTGCTGTCCCTGAACTTACTCAGTGACTGACTGGAGCAGCATCACAAAGTGGATGTTGGTGGTGCATCCTGTGCCCAGCAGCTGCCACATCCCCTTCAGGGGCTGCATGCTTCATCCAGACATTGCTGCCTCCCTCTGTGGCGGCCAGGACACCCCACATACTCCATGTTAGCCACTCAGGTAAAGAGCCCTTGTCAGGGCTTGCAGCACTGCATGGTTGCTCGCACTGGGACGGGCTGGACTGGGAGGACACTGGCAAGGCACAGGCATTGTTCAAATGCTCAGTCAAATCAGGGAATTGTTAACCCCCATGGATATACCAAACTGTGCCATGGTGCAAGACAGGACAAGTGTTTAAATGTGGCAGTGAGTACTTTTGTTTTAATGAGACCCAAAACAAAACAAGTTCAGAACTTGCCAGGAATCTTGGTATTATTATTCACAGTGTATTTTCCTGAATACTCAAAAAATGAATTATATCCAGGTGACTTTCAAGGGCAACTTTATCTGTTAGTTTGCAGTTAGACAATTGTTTCTATGGTTTAAGATGTAACAGTTACAAAATGGTTTAAGACATGATAGTTACAAAAGAACCTTAAGGAAACGGCTTAAATAAAACCCTTGTTAAATGGAAGATCAGCTCTGAAGGGATATTTTTAATAGAAAAGAAGTATCTATTAACACTTCAGCAAGTGAAGATTAATACCTACTAAAACATCAGTTGTGGATTTTTTCAACCATCTGTTTTCTCTGGGGGCAAAGATTACACCTGCATGAAGCAAGCATGCCCAAATCGGAGCATCTTTGAGAAATGGAGAAAGCTGTAATTTGAAATTAATTTTACTGGACATCTATTAAAATGATGTAGAGCTTGGCAATACATGTGTCCAGATGAAATCAGTGAAATTAACTAGATAATGATTGTGTATTACCAAAATCACAGAATACACTGCATCTCTCATTTCAAATCTCTTGCTCCCTCTCCAAATAATATTAAACACCAGTAATCTAATTTCTTTCTTCGTATCATAATGTTAGTTCCCAGTGATTGTGCAATGGAGGAAGAGCACACCAAGCAACACCAGGCTCTTCAGCATGGCAAGATGCTGTCTCTCATATTATTTAGCAATCTTTTCAGCTATGCTCAAGACACAACCCTGGTTTTAGGTTTGGAGCTCTTCTGCTGTGCTCTGGACTAATCAGGTTTGCACATACACTCCCATTGTCTGCTGAACAGCACCAGCACTTGGGTCATATTTTGACATGCATTGATTCCTGTGACAATGACAAAAGCATGATGAGACCTCAGACAAATGGCAGTAAACCTGAATTTCACCGGGGCTGTGCCCTACCTTTTCCTGCAGACTGGTTTCCCAGCGGTCTCTTCCCAGTCATAGCAGTCTTCTTCAAAGTGAGATCCTTGTGCTGTCTGGAGGTACAGATGTTGACCTGGCAGCTTTGATGCCTAAAGCAGGGGGCAGTGCCTTCCAGAGGCATTTTCTTTCTCAGTGGTCACAAGAATTAAAGGCAACCAAGCTGCCTCCCCATTTAAAACAAAACCCTCCCTCTCCAGCTGAGCTGACCTCACTTAGGCACCTGGTGCACCCTGGGGAGTTACTTTAGGCTCCTTCTATGGCTGGGGAAGGAAGAGTTCTGCTGGGAAGGAGGATTCATGTTGTGATGGCTCCTTGGCTTCAGAGGACCTCACACAGACTGTGCTTTTCACCTCTCTGGTAAAGGCATAAAACTGTGAGTGGTGAAGAGCAGAAGAACCACCAAAGGATCCAGGCTTAATCACTGCAAGTCAGTGTTGATCTGCTTAAGGACTGGTCTATAATTTGTTTTTGTTACTGTGTGGAAAGGCGAGGGTGAAGTCCATAGAGGGAGTTAGTAATGGTGCACATTATCTCTTGTACCAAAATAAAGCACGGTGTGGAGCATAATGTGAAAGATAAATCAGTCTAAAAGCAGAGTATGTTGTTAGGGAAACTTGCAGTACTTTTGGCGTAAAAATAAGGGGTTTCTCAAACTCTGGGGGGCTGCAGGAATATACGAGTGCAGCTCCTTCACTTACGAAGCACCAGCAGTGCACATATCTGGGACTAAAACTGCAGGATTAGGCCAGACAGAATCAAAACCCAGCCAGACACAGGTGTGAGCAGGAGCTACAAGCTTCTCCAAAACCAGAACAGAAAGTATTTCAGGAAGCAGAATTAATTTGGGCAGTAAAAGACCCTGAAGCCATTCTTTCCTTCAACATTTCTCTTCAATGTGCAGACTGTTCTCAACATCATAACCAACAGGACACAGGAAACTTTTTACAAGTACATTTTTATTTAAAATAAAAATTAATTATGGTGCCTTTTTAAAATAGGGTACTGCACAATCTGTATATGCAACACAGTTTTTGGTACGGAACATACTTATTGAGCAATATCCTTAAATACTAAATATACATTAATGGCTTGTTTGAGAAACATGACAACATTAATTCTGATATTTTTTTCTCTTTAGTTATTTAACCACTGATACAGATTTCCTATAAACAATATTCATTTTCATCTGTACATGTGGTACACAGTTAAGAAGGCAGATCTTAGAATATTTACATTCATGCACGATTTAAACACAGTATTTTGCAGTTTAAAATTATATATTTCTGTTTGTACAGGGGCAGGGAGTATTGTAAATCCATATCTACCATAGGCCTGATTCTCCATTGTTTGTCAGCATCTATGGTCATGACCTGGTTGAAGCAGGAGGCCCACACTCGCTTCACATGCTGTGACCATATGGCATGCAAGACTGGACAATTAGGTCTTTGTATGGATACATATCAATATATTTATATCTTATACTTAATAGATCTTTCCTCTTTCCTTCCATGTCTGTTTTTGCATCATCTATCCAAGGTACAGATGCTTTCCTGGGCACACCGCTGTATCGGGTCTGAGCTAGGAAGGGTGGCAGGGCTGGGGCTTCAGCTCCACCTTCCTGGTGCTGCTAAGGGCTGAAAAAACTCAACACTTTGCAGCTCAGGCCCTTAAAGTGCATTCCCTGTGTGTGTCTGTTAGTGGCGATCCTTGAGAAGAAATTGTGAGTTGATGCTCACCCTCAGACTGAACACAGCAGTGTGTTGAGTCTGCCTGGAGATGGTCAGAGCAGAGCAGTTAGCTTCTGCATAGAAAGTGGCCACCTTTGCGTCTGCTAGGGATTCGGCTATTCTGTGAATAGAGCTATGCAGGACCTTTCCACCCCTCATATTCTGGTGTCTAAAAAGAAACTCAAAATGCTTGTAAAGCTGCATTTTCGATTGCTAGTTCCCCACATGCAGGGTCACTGCTTAGTGAAGCCCTTATCCATCAAACCTGTTCCTTTCCCTTTGCATTTAATTATAGCTCAGTAAGGAAGCACAGAAGGCTCTTTTAGAAGACCTTTGCAAGTAGTCTGTAGAGTGTCAAACACAACCTGAAACCACACCAGCAAACTTCAGAAATCATTCCTCAGTGACACTGCTGTTCTAGCCCCTCTTTTCTGAGCACTTACAACTGCTTCCAGTATGCTTTTCCAAGTGACTTCCCGTAGATCACCTTACATTTTGGTGCAATGTAGTCAACTGTACTTGGGCAGGAATCTAAAGGCAAAAAAAACACTACCCTGTGCAAGATTTGCCATGCAGCTGTGTCAGCGTTGAGAGCAAAAGCTCTGGACAAGCAGAGGAGCAGCTTTCAGCCTGTCTACCGCTGCTCTTCTGTGGCCAACAGATTATAAAAGCACACTGGAGAATGTTTGTTTAAGAAATATTATGGTGATTATGCACCCAAATATATTTATTTAATAGCAGGTTGGATATAAGGATAGTGTGTATCTGCCTATGCAAATAAGCTACATCTTTATCTCTCAAAATACTGCCACAGAGCTCGTATTTTTATCTTATCTTGATTATACGGATGGGTAAATTGAGGCACAGAGAGGCAAAATTACTTGCTAGTAAACAGCTGATCAGTGGCAGAGCTGAAAATAGATCCTAGTTCTCATGTGCTGCTCCTTGAAATGCTCTGCCTCCCTGATCTCCGTGGAGTTTTTACTGTTTATGTTCTCCTGAGGAAAACCTCATGGGACTTGGGGTGGGGTTTTTTGTGTTATGTCATGCTCCAGGGTTTTCTCTAGAGAGAACATTTTGCCATTGACAAAACTGAAAATCAGACAGTGTCCGTGACCATCTCTTTAGACTGTTTCTTGCAAAAACAGACACATTTTGATAGACATAATGAGCTACAAATCCCTTTTGTGATTTTGGCCTTACAGAACATGCCTTTAAAGCTGTATTAGGAAATAATTAAAATCAACAACCTTTAGGAGAAAGTGCTAATCCTGAGCGTATCATGCTAAACTCATCTGCACTCATACTTTACACCCTCAGCCAAACATGCAACCAGTCTCAAACTATGCCATGTTTAGGCAGAAACAACTGCAGTACAAAATAGAAAGGCAAACGTAAGTAACTACACCAAAATAAATGTTATAGATTAAAATATATTCCTAAAATATACTCGTGATATTTTTGTTAGAGTATTTAGGGACTTAGTGCTTTAGGCAATTAACATTTGGGATACTAGACTTGTAGTGTAAATTCTGTCGTTTTAATCCCATTTGGGATCTAAGAACATACCACTGTGTCTTGTGCAAGCACACAACGTGAGTATGGCAGGTAATGATCATACTCTTGGGCAAAGGGTTACTTATTCCCTTTCACGTTTGTAATTTCATTCACTTCTCAAGAAAGTCTAATCTTTAAAAAATAATTCTATGTAGCTAAACTTTTACATAGTGATGACAGACTAAAAAGCTAACTTAATAACTCCATAAATTCCTCAACAGCAGTATATAGCAGCATTTCATTTTACCATTGAAAAGATACTTATATTTACATACACCCTATTGTTCAATAGGTAATAGAAAACTACAGATGGGCCTGAGCTGAAACTGCTGATTTGAACATCCTGGAGCTATACTGGGGAAGGTCTGCAGAACATCATCTTCCTCTACCATCAGGCAAAGCCCTACTCCCAGCAACAGACCAACCACAGACAGGAATGCATTCAAAATCAAGGTCTGGTTTCTGCAGTTCAGGCACATCCTTATATAAAACTGAAAGTATCGGTGTGTTGCAGTACTGAGGGATGTGGCGGCCAGGGCGCAGCCACATCCTGCAGTGAGACTGGTTTGGTGCCTGGGAGTTACTCACAGACATGGAGACCGAGTGGTATCAAAGCTTAATATCCAGACAAGAAGCCAGGGTGGAAATCTGTCTTTCACTGCATCACTACTTTCAGCACAGAGGTAAATGGAGACATAGACACGGAGGTGTGAAAAAAAGGAAAGTTTTCAGGAGGTGTGGAAAGACCAGTATCTTGGCTAGTCTCACTGCCTTTATCTTAAGGGTTATTTACTGAGTCTAACCTGAGATCTTACATGAAATGAATCTGGGTGGATTCAGCTTTGCTTTATGTAGTCTGCAATCCACATCATGGAAAGTAGAACACTAAGCTATTAGACTGAATTTGGCACAATGGCAGTCTCTGCCCAGGGGACTCAGAGACTGAGTTAACATGGGCACAACCAGCTTATCAGACCCTCAGAAGTGGTCCTCCAAGGCAGAACTACAATGTCTTCAGTGGGTCAGTTCAGGAGACTCAACACTTTCAGGAAACAACACTAATCAGTGGATGAAGAGGACTTGAAAGCACTACTAGTCCTTTCAACATAATCCTGCCCAAATGCTCATGTCAAGATGTAAATAGCTTTCCTGTAGGTGTTTCCCTGGGGAATCAGCATGATGCAAACACAGAGAAACATGTAGAACTTCAAAAAGGAAAACTTTTTAAAGATAAAAAATGTGATGCAAAAATAGAGGATGATTATGAAGTAATAGCGTTCAAAGCACCACTTAATAATATCTCTCTTTCCATAGCAATGCTAACTGCTAAAATCTTACATTTTGATTTCTTTTTCCTGCAAAGTCTTCAGCCATGGAAATTGCATAGTCATCACACCACAGATCAATTTCCTGGGGTAAGTCACAAGTTCATGCAATTTTTGGTTGCTCATTGGCTTTACAGTAACATTTGTTCCCTTTTTAGTAATGAAATAATAAGAATGATAAGAATGAATTATAAGCATACAAAACTGCACAGGCTGGAGAAGCATGTAGGTGACACCTCACACCCTTGGCCCTCAGACCCATTTATAGTAAGCTGCTGTCACTCTGGCAGACCATGTTCTCTTCAAAAGATCCTATCTCAGCAGCTTTTTTTGGACACTCAATTCACACTTAAAAGTGGGGGGAAGAGAAGAAGAAGCGTGAGGCATCGTGACATAGCTTTCACAAGATGCAGCATGCAATGCTTATGCCTTTGTGAGTTCTTTTCTCCAGGCAGCCTGGGTGGGCAAGTTTATCCTCCCTTTGGAGAAGCAGCAAGCCTGTAGAGCAGCCTGCTTTACTCTTCTGAATCACTGATGCGTGCGCTATTTCTGAAATGAAGACCTTGGCCACAGAACTCCATTCGTTGCCTTATTTCACCCACCTTGCATACTCCAAGTGTGTGCTTTGAAAGTTTACCACCTCCTGTGCCTCGGTGGGGTTTTGGGGATTATACAACTGCATTGTTATCAACTGTTTTGTTGTTTTGAGGTGAGGTCATTGCATATTCAGCCTGACTGGTTCCATTCTCTTCTTTTCTCATTGGTTTCCTTGGGTGATCCCAGGTTCGGTGATGTATAGGCAGGGTTGTGGGGAGAAGAAAGGACAGAGATAAACATCTTCTTTGTCAATACAGATTGAAAGCAAGGACATATCATAATACTGAACTCTTCCTGTCTATTTTTCCCTTTCTGAACAAAGACCAAACCAGCAGTTAAATTTGTCAAGCCTCAGTGTCTACCTGGAAAGTGAGACGTTTGGTCCTAAGGCCTCATGATGAATAGCTGGTCTCCCTGTGCTAGCCTGTGTATAGATATAGGTGTGCATGTTGCATGAGATGAAGGCTGCTGGAAGGAGAGCCCTCCACCACCACCTTCATCTCTGGGGTAGACAGTGGAGTGCTACGCCAGGCTCTGCCTTTGGGCAGTCCTGGGCCTTTCTCCTCAAACAGCCAGATCATTCAAACTGAGATGATGACCAGTTGTGTCCACTGAGGACCCAACTCACTCACCAGTCATCATAAAACCATTGTGTTTGATCGCTAGAAGAGGACTCATCTGATCAGTGTAGATATGTAAATCTGTGGTGACCATCCCAGATTACTTTCACAGTCAGTGGAGAGAAACAAGTATTTTTAAAACACAGCTCAGAACAGCTTAAAGTGGATACCCAAAATAAGTCCGGTGCTTTGTGCTCAAGGCATTTGTGTTTCTCTGTATTGTCTGTGAAGAAAGGATAGTCTGCTACCCCAGATACATATGTCCATGTTCTAGGTGTCTGAGTTACTGACTGAAACATGGTACCTGCTGTAGTCTCCCAGGCCCCCAGTACCAACCACCTTTTTATTTTTGTTTGGTGGCCACTGGTAACCGCTTGGTAACCACTGATGGTAACTGTGAGACAGTTCAGCGAATGGCCAGCAAGTACGGAAAACTAACATGCATCTAAGCATCACGGAGCAAAATTGTCTTATTTGTGATTTTAATGTGACTCTAACATGGGAGGCCTGAGCATAATTTTCCTAAAAGACCATGTTACATCATGTAGGTGTTTCCCCACGACTTTTCAAAAGACCTTTATTTAAAGCTGAAGCTTTAAACATAGGAGGAGGAAAAAACTTTGTGCTTTCCACACAGATATTGCAGACATTAGTGCTTTGAGTTTAAGGAACTTCTGAGAGCAAAAATTACAGATAAATGTAATACAACAGTCAGTCTGTGCTATTGTTCTTGACATTGTTTAACAAAACAACAATTAATAAAAAATGGTTAATGACATTTAATTTCAGCAAAGTATTAATGAAAGATTTATGGAGAATTACAGGAAGATAAATTTGCTTTGCTTGTTATCTCGAAGGAAACACTTCTGATTGTGATATGTATGTCTTTTCAGCTGGTAAGAGTTAAGGTTTATTAATATTAGCCATGATTCCAGCTGTTAGAGAATGGAGATGAAAGGAAGGGGGACTAAGAGTTGTTGAGACTAAGGGTTTGTTGAACCATTTTTCAGCCATTAACATGCTGTGCCAGTCTGTATCTGTCACAAGGTCCTGTGCCTGTCTTTCGTGACATTGTAAAGCACCCATCCACCCCGCCACAACCCTGACAGAGGAATGGAGAATCTGATGGCAATACTTCTCTTACTCTTTTCAGTTCCATTTTCTTTCCCTGTCTAGCTTTCCTCTTCTTCGTGTTAAAAATATCTTCCTCTCATTTTTATCTATATTTTTGCCTTTTTTCTGGAACTGATTCCAAGATTGACTTTCTTTTCTCCTGAAAAAGTTTTTTCCTTTCTTCCCCCTTTTTTGTTTCAGCTTCTCTTCCCCAAGACCTGCCATTTGCTCTTTCCCTTCCCCAGGCTGGTCTCCCAGACATAGGCAAACTGTAGACTCTCCTAAGACGGTGAGACCTATCTGCAGACACTGGCAGAGATTGCTGGTACCACTACACCAGGGGCACTAACATGCTTTGGAAGCATGGCTTGGGAGACTTGTATGCACTTGTCACAGTAATTAAAATTGACCTATGTATTTAAAAATGCAAGAACATTTTGGCCTGATGTGATTTTCCAACTGCCCTTTTACATTAGGGCAGTAGCTCTTTTTTGTACCACTGGCTCTATGTGTCACTAACTCTTTTTTACCTCAAATTTCATTGACTGTTGATATCCAAGCATGCAAGTTGTCTTCTTACACACCAAGCGGAAAGCTTTTATCCCATTTTCTGCCTGATGAGTTAGATTATGCATCACCTTCCTACACACAATACTCCAATCCCCTTTCAGATGAAGTGCTATAGCCATGTATTTATGCACTTCCATTCCAGGTTTCCTCCTCACTTGTAAAAGGGATGTTTCAAATTAGTGAAGGAATGAGTAGCGAACTATTCATATTTGACATACTTACTTGGTGACAGGTGAAACTTGTTTGCTAACAAGTGCTTTGCATTGCTTTACAGTATGATTTGCTACACATTGTGCTTTGATGTTTAGCAAACAAATTGGTGCGCTCTTCATGCCAAACATCTGCGAATGAAAGGAGCATGCGACCCTGTACAGCTTAGTACATGCCTGAAATCATGCGTCAGAGTCCATAATGACCACTCCACCATGCATGCATTAATTTGCATGAGTCCTAAAATCAAGAAAGCATTAAACCACCATTTAATAGTGTTTTCACATCTCAAACTTAAATTTCAAATGAGGTTCTGATCACATTATAAATCATATATAAAAGAAATTCATATTGGCTTGTACCAATTCTCTGCAGAGTCCCCTGTAAAGGTGAATGTAACAATGCACGTTCAAATACAACTTGTATGATCTGTCTTTAGAAAACTTCCAAGAGGAAACACAGGTTTTGACCCTTTATCATGTCTAGTAACAAAACTCTGTATATTTCACTCTCCCTGCCAGCTTTGGCTACTGGTGTAAATTTGGTGTAGACCTGTCTGTAAGGTAGTTGTGTGCTAAGAGTACTAGGGGAGGGTTTCACCTCATGTCTCACTTGCGCACACTTCAGAAAATCTCTATATATTTCAAATCTATATATTCAAAGAAAAGATGACCAGACTTTTCATTTAAACAGGACTTTACTATGCTTTATTACTTATAGGCTTATTGAAGCTTTGAGGAGAATAAGACCATTGAGCACCATTGCAGCTTGCCTGCCCCCCCTGCATCAGTGGTGGCATGGGCTAGGTCACGTGTCTGCCTGCTGATTCCTGGGGCAAAGTGGCAGAAGGGAAGAAGCAAATCAGAAAATCAGAGAGCTGAAGATGTATTGCTTGTATGTACAATGACTTTGAAGCTCTTCTCCATATCAGTGAATATTTCATTAGCTATTAACACATAAAAATTAATAATTTTCATAGAATCATAGAACAGTTCGGGTTGGAAGGGAACTTAAAGATTATCTAGTTCCATCCCCACTGCCACAGGCAGGGATATTTTCCACTAAACCAGGTTGCTCAGAGCCCCATCCAACCTGGCCTTGCACATTTCCAGGGATGGGGCAGCCACAACATTTTGGGGGGAACTGTTCCAGTGCCTCACCACCCTCATAGTGAAGCGTTTTTTCCTTACATCTAATCTAAATCTACCCTCTTCCAGTTTAAAGCCATTACCCATTAGCCTATCTCTACGTGCCCTTGTAAAAAGCCTCGCTACAGCTGTCTTGTAGGCCCCATTGGGTACTACCCTTTGGGTAGTGAAAGGCTAGTATAAGGTCTCCTGGAGCCTTCTCTTCTCCAGGCTGAACAACCCCAACTCTCTCAGCCTGTCTTCACTGGACATGTTTATTTTCTATAAATGTGGGTCTCATGCAACACGCTGATTAGCTTCACAGGATTGGTCTGTCTTGATGTACCTCCAGCACACAGCAGAAATATCCAAGTTAGTTGTACACCAGTAGAGATCCAGCTGCAGCAGCATCTTCCTGGGTTACAAAAGTTGCCCAAGAAACAGAATAAGTATCTGTAAGTCTATTATTTTCACTCAGCTTCATCTCGTAAGCTTTGATGCTAGCAGTACCTAGCTCTTGGCTAGACTTCACTGCTGGAAGCCCAGAAGAGATGATATGTGGGCTACAATCAACACTTCAAAAACATCCTTATTTAGCAGATATGGGGAAGGAATGGAAGAATGAATTTTGTAATGTTATTCAATAACTAGACCATCTCTCTGAATAGCCTGAATGTTTATAAGAACATAGAGAATGTGAACAGAGGCTGTTTGCATCTCAGTACTGGGGATGTTCATCAAACATCTGTTTGATTCATGCTGGCCACCAGCCATTGGAGGTGAATCAGTCCTGTGAAAGCATCTGGTGGGATAAGCAAACTTACTTTCTAAGACTGGTTTGTGAACAGGACCCCTGCTAGAGGGGCTCAATGCACTAACAACAACTGCCTTCTGGGACACAGCCATAAGATTTTATGTAGCTGCCTACAACAAGCCTTGCCTAATGACTAACCTGAGCTGGACAGTCTGGTGCTATGGCCCAGACATATGGGACTCATGCTAAAGAAGGACATTCCTCTGGAGAGACTTTTCAGTGTCATGAAAAGAGAGTCACATTCTAACTTCCCCCTTTGGCTGTGTATCTATCTGAAGGGAGGATCTGGCCTGTTCAGATTGCAGTAGTTTGCTGAGCCACATGAGAAATCTAAGAAGTGGGGTTTAGTCTTCATTTATTGTCAGCAGTGCAAAGTCAGAGTAATTCCACAGACTGCTGGACTTCAGGAGGTTTTGTTCTGATATTACAGAGGAAGACCTGTCCTGAGAGACTAAGATGATGCAATCACATTTCCTAGTAAGTCTTCAATTAACCTGACTTCAGAATTACGCTCCTACACAAACACAACCTTAAGGAAGAGAAGTAGCTTTATTATTAGGATACTGGTCTATTAAGTGTAATAATTGATAAAAGTACTTTTAGTGACCCCTCGCATTACAACGCATTCTTTGCATTCCCTATAATGAGCTTTAAAAGGTTTTATTGACTGAAGGGATATTACAGCTGCCATTATCTGTCAGGCATTCCCAGCACGGAATACACTGTCAATATGTTTTTATGACAAAAGGAAAAAAATGAATGGGCCTAATGTAAAAAATGAGCTCATGTTATCAGCCTTCCAGCCCGGCAAAAAGCCTCTAAATGGGAAAAAAAAAAAGACATTACATTCATGGAAGGAAGGCACCCTGCTTTGAACAAAGCCAAAACATGTCTGGAGGGTGGCCATGGCTGTGCGCTGGCAGTGCCCTTCGGGGGTGAGCTGGACACACTCCTGCTCCTCAAAGGCCTGTCCTGCCACAGAGCAGTGTAGGCAGTTAAGGTGTGTTCATGGAGCTCAGCTCATGCTGAGCAATGCGGAAACAGCCTGGGTTTCTCAGTATATGTGTAGCACCCAGATAACTGGGATTATATGTAACTCTACTGCATTAGGTATGATCTGCCCTTGCACATCTATAATTTACAAAGAGTAGACAGCTCAAATTTCTGTCCTAATTTCTTGTAGAAGACAATAAGCGAGCTTGAAAAACCCAGTATAATGAAAAGAAAAAGGGGACGGGATTGATCTCAGGGAACTCCAGAAAGGGCATTTGAAAGGAAGAAATAGGAAGAAGCCATAGGTAAATTTAGGCTGGAGATGCAGAAAAGCTTCTTTTACTCTCAGAAAAATAACGGTTTGAACTGAGACTGCTGGAAGAGGGAAAAGGAGAGAGGGAAAACTATACAGCTTCAAGAATGACACTGATATGTTTATGGAATGGATCAAATGCCACAGTGCTCACAATACTGGGGACAGACAGGGTAACCCAAGCACCTTGTTCCAGCTCCATGTTACTCATATGTCTCAGCTGCCATCCTGAAATATCAAAGATGGAATATCAATTGCTTCAGGGAACTTAAACAACCAGTGTAACAGGAGAAATCTTTTCACTGAACTTCAGGTGCAGCCTCAGTTTCCCTGGGATTGATTCTCAGTGATCAAGGAAATACCTATGGTCAGAGCTGGACACAGGGTGCGTTGCTCTTCTATGGCAACTGGGTCTGGATGGTGGCTGGGAATGGGTAACTGCTGATGATGAAAGCAGTACACTCTCCTACCTTCCCCCCTGCCGTTTCATGCAGATCAGAAATGGGAAAAAAACACAATTTCCTGGAGCCCTTCTGTGAACATCCTCCAGACAACAGCAGGCTGGACCTATTACTGCAGTAGTGGCATTATGCATCTCACTAAATCAAAGTCATGGAAACTGTGTAATGCTGGACAACAATTTAAGGCTGCCCCCAAACTGGACTGTGCACAATCTCTGGGCTTTTGTGCCACAAGCTGAATGACTATGCAAGTCTGAGTTTTCGTTTCTGCACACGTGTGACACACACAAAAGTGAGACATGCACATTCTCACAGGTGCTGGCATGAAGGCAACAAACACTCCTCTGCTTATGTGGCACTCAGAAATACAAAACTACCAGTGGAAGCCCAGAGACCTTTCTCTTAGTCTTTTAAAATTCTCCAGTCCTTCTGGAACAGACTGAACACCACCTATCACTACTCAATGCTTTCTACCTTCAAAGTGCTTGACAAACATGTATTAAGAAATCCGGAGAAACATGGCTTTCAAGGGCCCAGCTGTACCAATCCTGATCAATACCTTGCTTTTTTTATATAGACAACACATCTAAACATATACATTGAACAAGACATAACTACCTACCTGCTTCTGCTCAGCTACAGTGAGGTCAGTAAAAGACATCTATAAACTATTCACCTGGGTTCCCAATTAGAAGTTGTCCTTGGGCAAAATATATCAATCACAGTATCACAGTATGTTAGAGATTGGAAGGGACCTCAAAAGATCATCTAGTCCAATCCCCCTGCCGGAGCAGGAACACCTAGATAAGGTTTACACAGGAACGTGTCCAGGCGGGTTTTGAATGTCTCCAAACAAGGAGATTCCACAACCCCCCTGGGCAGCCTGTTCCAGTGTTCCGTCACCCTCACTGAGAAGAAGTTTCTTCTCAGGTTTAAGTGGAACCTCTTGTGCTCCAATTTGTACCCATTACCCCTTGTCCTTTCATTGTTTGCCACTGAGAAGAGCCTGGCTCCATCCTCGTGACACTCCCCCTTTATATATTTATATACACTAATAAGGTCACCCCTCAATCTCCTCTTCTCCAAACTATAGAGACCCAGCTCCCTCAGTCTTTCCTCATAAGGGAGGTGCTCCACTCCCTTAATCATCTTAGTTGCCCTGCGCTGGACTCTCTCCAGCAGGTCCCTGTCCTTCTTAAACTGAGGGGCCCAGAACTGGACACAATATTCCAGATGAGGTCTCACCAGGGCAGAGTAGAGGGGAAGGAGGACCTCTCTCGACCTACTAACCACCCCCCTTCTAATACAACCCAGGATGCCATTGGCCTTCTTGGCCACAAGGGCACAGTGTCGGCTCATGGTCACCCTGTCGTCCACCAGGACCCCCAGGTCCCTCTCCCCTACACTGCTCTCTAACAGGTCGTTCCCCAATCTATACTGGAACCTGGGGTTGTTCCTGCCCAGATGCAGGACTCTACACTTTCCCTTGTTATATTTCATCAAGTTATTCCCCGCCCAACTCTCCAGCCTGT